TGATAAATAATGAGGACAAATTATGAATATCAAGAGACACCATGATTCATTTTAACAAATCTCCTCTTAAATAAATAACGAAAAGAATTATTAGGAGATCAAATGATATAATATCTTGATTCATGCATAAGAAATCTCAAGTTATAAATTTTAAAAAATCAAGATAAAGCTCATTCAAATTCAAATCATCAAAATTACTTTCAAGAGATTCAAAATGACATAACCAACATTATTAATCTCTTAGTGAAAAATCGATAAGATAGAGAAAAGAAATTTTCAAGAAAAATGCTTTTCTTTTTTTAGTTGTTTCAATTCATGTGATTTGTTTCATATAAGCATGCTCAAGTTTTTCATATGAAAACAATACATCATGGTTTAAAATCGAAAGAGTAAATCTCATAATAGAAATCATCAAGACCAATAAACCATAAATTACCCAAAAATCATCATTACTTCAAATCATCATGCATAATTTAAATATAAAATCATCAAGCATGATACTTACATTATTTCATATAAGCATGTCTTTCTTCATTTATGCTAAATCAAAACATGCAGCTTTCATTATGGTAAAAATCGATAGTCCATAAATCACTAAAATCATCATGCATAATTTCGAAATATAAATTTATTAAGCATGATCATTATGTATCACTACTTTGGGCATGACATCGAAACATGGTTTCAAGTTTTCAAGGTATGCACAATTTCATATTAAGCATGATATCAAACCTCTTAACATTTTCATTAAGACATCAAGCATGATTTCAATCAAAATCGAAAATCATCAAGATACACATTATTTCTTTAAAACATCTAGCAGAATTTAAGTCTAACATTTTGTTCCTTTGTCATAACACATACAATTTTCATAATCATTACTAGAAGGACAAGCATGATTCCTATTTTATTTTTGTATTTTTCATTACATCATTAAACATGCAAATTTCAAGAAAAATAATTAAACTAAAGTAAAAATAACTCATTAAAAGCATCATGTAATTTCGAAATAAATTAAGGGAGTTTCGTTTACCTCGTCGTCAAAAGCCGTTAAGACGTAGTATGCCACCTTGCCTTTGTTGATTTTCTCATCATCTTCAGAGGAGCTCGATTTGTCCCAAGGAGCTTCCTTCTTCTTGCGTTCATAGCAAGTAGTTGCGTTCTTTTTGTTCTTTGATTTTTGTTTCATGAATTTTTTAAATTTCATGAGAAGTCTTATGCTCGAGTGGTCTTCGATTGTTCTTAGTCCGAAATCCTTCCTGTCCTTTGGAAGGTTGTTCTTGAATTCTTTAATGCACGTCATTTCATAGGTCATTAAAGACCCTATTAGTTCTTCAATCGGAAAGGTATTTAATTTTTTTGATTATTGAATTGTCGTTACTTTTGAATCCTAATTCTTATTAAGAGAACGTAAAATTTTGTTTACAAGTTCAAAATCCGAAAAACCTTCTACCAAGTGCTTTTAAACCATTGACTACATTCGTAAAACGGGTGTACATGTCTTCAATGGTTTCGCTTGATTTCATATGAAACAGTTCAAAATCGTGCATCAAAAAATTAACTTTAGAATCCTTAACACTACTTGTGCCTTCGTGTGTGGTTTCAAGAATGTGCCAAATATCGAAAGTCATTTCGCACAAAGAAACCCGATTAAACTCAGTTTTATCTTAAGCACAAAATAAAGCATTCCTAGCTCTAACATTTAAAGAAAAAATCTTCTTCTCCAAATCATTCCAATCTTTTATTGGAAGAGAAGACCTTTTAAAACCGGATTTAACAATGTTCCATAAGTTCAAATCCAAAGAAAGCAAAATAACTCTCATTCGAGTTTTTCAATATGTGTAGTCCATCCCATTAAAAAAGGGAGGACGAATGAGAGAGTGACCCTCTTGAAAGCCGAAAAGAGTCATTTCTCTTTGGGTGTTAAACCAAATGAGAAAACGAGGCTCTGATACCAACTGTTAGGAACGAGTCGGCACTAAGAGGTGGGAGTGAATTAGTGCAACGGTAAAATCATGTCTTCAAAATCCTTCGTACGATTAAAACCGGTTTCGTAAAGATATTAACTTTAAATTGTACAGAAACGTAGTGAAGGAGGAATTCAGTTTGCAATAAAGATAAATAACAAGAAGTAAATGCAAACCATATTTTAGAGTGGTTCGGTCGTCGTGACCTACATCCACTTCGCCGATTCCTCTTCCGTCGAGGTCACTGGCATCCACTATCGATCTTCCTTTAATAGGCGAAGATCAACCTCCTTCTTACACCCCTCTTCTCCTTTTATCGGGTTTAGGAGACAACCCTTACAAGCACTCACTCCTCTATTACAGAATTCTAAGCTTAGAATGGAGGAGGGAATTTCTTAAGAGATTGCAGTAGCGTTTTCTCACTTTTAAATTCTTTGTGCTTGTGTAAGTTAACCAGGGATGAGAGGGGTATTTATAGGCTTCAAGTTGATTCAAACTTAGAGCCTAAAAAGGTCTCATCCCAGGTTTCAGCACTCTAGTTGGGCCTTGAATCCGGCTTAAACCAATCCAACTTCGGGCCCAGTTAGCCCCTAACAGAGTTGATGAGATTACCTCCCAATCTCAACTCTAATTATGTGCTAACTATGATTCCTAAGACATATTCGAAGCAAGAGAAGTCCGATTTCTTCCGGTGAGCTTTCGACGATCTTTCCGGCGAACTTCCGACGATCTCTCGACAATGTTCCGGCGGATTTCCGGCAAGCTCTTGGACTTCACGATGATCTTCTTGGCGAGTTCCGACGAGCTTTTTTGGCAAGCTCCTGGACTTCTCGGTTAGTTCCGGTAGAACTTCCGACGAACGTCCGGACTTCCGATGAACTCTCGAACTCCCAACGAAATCACGTTCTTGACTTTGGGACTTCATTTTCCTTTATGTCTTGCTATCGTAGTTAATCCCGCACACACAAAAATACGCTTCGATCTAGACAATTAATACTAAGTATTAATCATGTTTTCCGGCATGTCATTGGTCCCATGACGCTTCGTTCGATTCTTCGGCGCATCGTCCTCTCTTGCGGCCTATTGCCCAATAGGTCAGTTGACTCCGCATCTCCGATATCCTTGACGCAATATCCGCTCTTCTTGGCCCGATGCCCGAATCTATGGCTCGAAGCCTTCTGTCGATACGTCGACCGATCCTTCGGCCCGACGTCCAATCTTCTGACATGTTTTCCTCCGACCCAACATGATTCTTCCTGCTGTAATTGTCTCTCCTTGATCAAAGCATCTTGCGTCACTCAAAACGCAGATTAAATCATAAACACTTATCAATTGGTTTTATTATCAAAATCCGAGATTCAACAAAGACAACCAGGGATCCTCCCAAGAGCTAGGTTATCCATATCCTAACAGCCTTCTTTAAGCAGTATTGGGCTGCACTAGAGTGCATATGGGCCAACAGGAGTTAATATGGGTTGCTTCAAGCTGAGTAATGTTGAATCCTGCATAATGCCTATGTAGGAGCACTACCAATCTCATGAATTTAATAATAGACAACTCGAGTGAACTTGGGCCAGAGGTAGCCAGGACAAAGTACAGGATTATTCGGTCCACGCTAAGCTGGGATCATTAAGTATGACCACTATGAATTCTCAGTGATGTCTTTAGCTTGATCAGAGTACAAACAACAGTCACAGTAGAAGAATATGTTGACATCTTAATCACTATGTCATTAACTTATTTATACTAAAATGTTTTACAAGAGCCAGATCAACATGAATAGCATCTCAGGAACATTTTGAAAATTATGCAAAAAAGAGAAATCACATGCAATAGATAATACACAAAGCAAGCAAAAATTATGGCTCACAATAGATGATATTTTCAAACTATGTAACTGTTACATGTTCCTGGAAGACATAAAAATGGAGAGGGTGAAGTCAAAGTAAATTAGATGACCTGCTAATTCAGATATCATGAGATTTCCTAGATATATTAGAAGTTATTGAAGGCTTCTACAAGATGGCTGGCTATCTGATCTGAATGATCAAGAACAATGTAAGCATGAACTTTGCTAGAGAAAAAGATTGTGAAAGGATTTTGGAATTGAAAGCTAATAAAAACTAGCACATCAGATTTTTAGGAGGATTCATGGAATGACATAAAAAGGATGTCGCTAAGCATTTACCTTGTTTGCCTTTTAAAGTGAAGAATGGGTATCCAATGCAAGGAAGTTGCAGAATCTACCTATAAAGTGGGAGGAGTATGTTGTAATATATTTATTGTCAGATCACCTTGAACAAAAGATTGTAAGAGTATCATATAGTCAATTTCTCTGAATTAAATGTTTCCTTCCCATAAGAATTATTTCATGGTAAGTGCCTGAGGACTTATGTTGAAAAGATCATTGACCACAGTTAGAATAATTTGAGATGGCAGCTTTACTTATAATTTCAATGAAGGCTGGAGAAAGCTTGTGCCCATGGTTTGCTTTCTACAAGTTTTCATCTTAAATAGATGTATAAGATCGGAAAGGACTACTCCAACCATATGCAAGTAAAGCATGTGGCAGTTAAAGCCTAGATCCACATCATCAATAAAAACAAATTGATGGAAACATAGCAACATCAATAAAATGAAAAATTATTTTACTGATTGCCTCACATAGCAAACAAAGCAGTCAATTTTCAAGGATAACTTTAGAGGCTAAAAACATGCGCATTATAGATTGATCCACTACTAAAATTAAATCCTCTTGTTATTGAAAGCATGTGATACTCAAAATAGCCCATCAAAAACACTACCAAATATGTCATCTTAAATTTGTCCAACAGGTAGGCATTTTTTAACCTTATATATGACCAATTGAAATATTCAAAAATCTGCAGAACATGCCAGGTAACAAAAAGGACTAAGTGCACTTTGAACCATTCACAAGAGTTGCCTGAATAGATATAGTATTTCCATCAGTAGTCACAATATGAATAAATATAAAAGAACTTTCCCAGAGAAACTTTGACATAGAGATAAAACCTTGCTTGTTCTAAGATTATCCACAAGCCTTAAAGATCGACACTGAGTTGGTTCATTAAGTTCAGAAAGTATCCAGATCTTTGATTTGTCCATCGATTCATCAGCAATTTTAGGTTTTACATCCACCAAGTTTCTGCAATCACCGCTCTGTCAAAATCAGATACAAAGTTAGCACAGTCATAATGTATAATAAATTCACTAAAAAAAATAACGTAAAATAAATTCCTGATTAAACTGGGTGAAAACATAGAAGGCTTCATGAGATTAGAATGATGCTTTTAGAAGAAAATTGCATATTAAAGAACAATTCACACACCATTCCAGCTATCGCCATAGGTGGTAGAGCAGTTCTATCAGTTATTCCAGAAGTCGTTGCAACAGCAGCAGCAGACAATGGGCTTATTATCGGCTGTTTCAGATAGCATAGATAGCATCATATCATTTGCACTTTATGTCAAGAACAAGTAGTTTGACAGGAAAGGGCTACCTTTGTTACTGTCTCTGAAACAGTTCTGGAAGTATCAAAAGAATGATTTTCAAGTGTGCGCAACAGACGAAGCCCATCAGAATTTGCCAAAATTTTAATTCCATTATCATGTGTAGAGACAGCCAATAGTGTTCCCTCCTTGTTAAACCGTATCCTTGGACTTGCCTAAGGTTAGAAATTGAAGATTTATAAATAGAGCATATTCTAAGAGAGTTTTCTTTATGATGCCAGCAAAAATACAACGTACTGGTAGGCCACCATCAGCATCAATCGTTGTTAATAGACTAGTATTATCCATATCCCAGAACTTAATCAGAAATTCATCGCCAGCAGCCAAAAACCGATTTCGTGTGGTATCAAATTGCACAACACCTAGGGAACGTTTTCGAAATCCTTGGTATGTCCTCTTCACGGCTCCTTCACTTTCATTCCACTCCACAATGAACGTTTCCCCTTCTTTACTGGTCCCACATGAAAAGAGCCTACAGACAGACAGCAAGAGGAAATTTTCAATGAGAAATACAGATCCCTAAAATATTTATTCTTCATTTTGCTAAAAAGCCACCAACTCTGAAATATACCTCGAACCATCAGCACTATAGGCCATTGTGGTACACCAATGTCCAGGAGCATCATAATCCACCCTCGATCCTAAATTGTCATACAACCATGCTTTTATTTTTCCATCTAATGCTGTTGAAAAGATGAACTGTATGATAAAAGAAAGAAAAAGATCAATAAGCTTTCAACGACTCATTAATAAAAACTTCCACAAAATATCAATATGCCGTGAAGACAATTTGACTTAAATTAAAGCCTAAATAGGTAAATTACCTGAATGTTCTCCTTGTGATGTGGGCAAACAGAATAAACAGGTGATTCATGCCCCTCAAAGGTGTAATGTTTTGTGCCACTAGTTGCATCCCACACCTAACGTATCACACAAATACACAAAAGCTTCAAGCAACAAGTGTATATAATTCAGAGGTCAGAATTCTTCATATACCAACCTTAATTGTTTTGTCATCTCCACAGGTTATAATTGAAAGCTGTTTATTAGGATGAGCAAATGCAACATCATTGACACCGCCAGTATGAGCATCAATCTGTGAAATGAATGTTGGAAGAAATATAAATAAAAATAAATAGAGCAAGAAGTGTATTTCAAGATGCATTGATTGCTTTATAACCTCCAAGTGCTGTCTGATATCATCAGCACCATGATAAGAAAATATTTGGACAATGTGCCTTGAATAAGCAACACCTACACAATGTTGAGGAAGGATTACTGTGACAAGTCCCTGATAGTCTTCTATTTTCTTGGTGCATGGAATTAGTATATAAGATACAAAACAAAAAATACTTGTTTTTACAAGCTTACCAAACAAGGAGCCATCTGGGCTCCATATGATGCGATTAACTGACACAGCAGGATCCTTAACCAAAGAAGCCTGAGTAGCATAGAGCCAAACTTAGATTCATTCTGCATCACAAAAGTAATAATGCACCAGAGGACCATATAGCAGTGCTTTGCATCAGTAAATGGAAAGCCAAACCTGAAGGGACATGGAGCAAGATCCAATTTCCCAAACCTTAAAGTTCGTAAGGATTAACCTCTCCCTAGAGCCTACATCCCATAATGCGATGTCACCCACATTTGTACCAACTACAAAACGACAACATGACAACAACACAAGAAAGACCAGCCTCAGCAAGTGATGGCAGATAAATAAAAGCTAATACCTGAGGAGAACAAGATTAACATAAAAAAGGTCCTAAAAAGCACACCAAGAAGAATAGTCTGCTGGATTGGATGAAAATCCATGCTCATGGGGTTTGAGCCTTGACTCAGCGTTCGTGCAACCATCTTTGGCAAGTCCTCCAGGGTGTACATAGCCTGGTTATGATTTTGAGGATAGGAAACTGGCAGTATATTCACAGGCAGGTTTACCTGAATTAAGAAGTAACTATTAAAGAGAAACACCAAGCACCATTAAGCAGGATATAGAAGAAACGCCCAGCAGACCTCATCAGATATTCCAAGAGGCCTTGTTCGTTTTGGCACATGATCAGAATCTCCATACTCGATAGAAGGGTTGGCTGTCGGAGGAGTCCTCGGATGCTTCAAAATTGCAACTATCAACAGAGCAAAATAATTATACAAACAGTGGCATTCCACAATTTTCTTCTATCACTAGCCAGTATAATCCACATACTACCAGGATTTGTAGGTGCACTGAGTCCAATAGCTCCACCAGCAACAGCTGGAGGATTAGACATCCAGCCAGCAAGGGGCGTAGGAACTGGTGCTGGTGCAGGTTGAAAAGGCTGAAGAGGAATTATTGAACAATCGTGAGATATCTCATGAAAAACATGCATGCAAATTAAAGTTAGATAAATTACCCCATGAGCACCCAATGGAGGAAAACCTCCTGCTTTCGGCATGGATCCAAGCAGTGGACTGTTTGCTGGTGATGGTGCAAGTGCACCGTTTGGTTGTCCACATGAATGATCAACAAATAAAGTTTTAATGTCTGGATTTGGCCTAGGGTTTTTGCATAGCTGATGCTGCCAGTTTAAACTGCCAGATCATAGAATGATAAGAAAACTTTAATACTCATTAACAAACCCCATATAGTAAGATAATTGAAGCCAACTGAACCAATTTTCAAGAACAAATCAATTGAGATATAAATTAGAAACAAGCTTCTATATGCATCATGCCAAGTTCATGTCATTCACTAAATTTTTAGGATTAGCTTCCTACATGCACCTATGGCTATTTCAATAACATTGTTGTCCTCTAAGTATACTGAGAAAACAACGCTGCCATCTTACTCTCTGCTAAAGACCTCTACTCGCTAATGGAAAAAATTAAGAATATAAAGTTTGATACCGGGGAGGGTAAAATGCAGAATGGATTTCGAAAGGAAACCGATGCAACAGTTTCTCAGATAGAAAATGTCATAGCAGACAAAGAACGAACTCTTGAAGAAAAGTCGCAGTACAGTTATATTTGCTGGAATGAGTGTTCTAAATAGAAAAGGCATAAACTCACAATAAAACTTAAAGAAGATCGAAAAATAGTTCATCACCAAGTTAAAATCACAAAGGGATACAGAAATTCACCACCTCAAGGATTATAAACGAGGATACATAACAGAAATCAAAAGACTCACGACTCAAGGACGCATCCAAGAGATACAGAGTTTAAGGGAGTTCTCCAAGAGAGCTTCTGCCAAGATATTATCAATTTCTAAAGTTCTTTCTAAGTCCTAAACACCAAAATAAATACTAGTGCATGAAACAACCCTTCATGCATAGGGAATTTCGAAATTAAGTGTTTACATCTGCTAACCAACTCCTTTAATGCATTCCTTGGTCATGAAGACATGTTCACAACTGCTAACCAACTCCTTTAATGCATTCCTTTGTCATGAAGAAAAGCATCTTGAAACAGCTTTAACTTTGTGCAGGGAATATGCTGATGAGCTGTCATATTTGAGTGGGCTGAGTTAAAGATTATGAGGCATCATTGTTGGCTGAAAAAATACCATATCATAATCAAGGTTCATATGATCAGATTGTAGTAAATTAGACACTCCCATGTCAATCTCCCCCGGTTGAAAAAGACTTGTTCTCAAGTCCTTGTTTGATTCATCAACATGATTATAAAAAGGACTTAAATCAGCCACATTAAATGTTTGGGATACTCCGTAATCTTCAGGTAGCTCAATTTCATAAGCATTTTTGTCAATTCTCTTAAGCACCTTGAAAGGACCATCAGCCTTTGGTTTTAGTTTTCCAAATTTGCCTGGTGGAAACCTCTCATTCTTTAGATGAATCCAGACCAAATCACCAGCATTAAACTCGGCATGTTTTCTGTGTTTGTTGGCAGCATGCATGTACCTCATTTTGCTTCTCAATGGTTGCTTTCACACCCTCATGCAGCTTCTTTATCTGCTTAGCTCTTTCATCAGCATCTCCAGTAAATTGTTTTGTTATAGAATGAGGGATTAAATCCAAAGGACTAGCAGGATTAGCACCATAAACAATCTCAAAAGGACTCTTACCGATACTATGATAGATAGAACGATTGTAGGCAAACTCAATTTGTGGAAGAATGAGATCTCATTGCTTAATATTCTTGCCAGCATAGCTTCTAAGCAAATTTCCCAAGCTTCTGTTCGTTACCTCAGTTTGCCCATCGGTTTGTGGATGATGCGAGCTGCTGAAATTCAAAGAAGTACCTAGCTTCCTCCAAAGAGTTCTCCAAAAATGACTAACAAATTTTGAATCTCGATCAGATACCATAGTTCTTGGAATACCATGCAATTTAATAATCTCCTTAAAATACAAATCAGTAATATGAGATGCATCATTCGATTTATTGCAAGGAACAAAGTGAGACATTTTTGAAAATATATCAACAACAACCATGATAGAATCCTTGTTCCTTTGAGTTCTTGGCAATCCCAAAACGAAATCAAGACTCACTTCCTCTCATAGAGCATTTGGCATAGGCAATAGAGTGTACAATCCAGAATTTTAACTTCTTATTTTTGCCAAATGACACACTCGACATTTCTTTACATATCTTTCCACATCTCTAAACATCTTAGGCCAATAGAAGTTTGATTGAATAAGAGCTAAAGTCTTATCTCTACCGAAATGTCCACCCAAAACACCACCATGAGCTTCAGCTAGAATTACTTGTCTCAAAGAACAAGATAGAACACATAAAGCATTAGCTCGAAAAAGAAAACCATCAAGGATAGAAAATTGTTGAAAGGAACCTGATTTGCAATTCTGCCATATTGAGCCGAAATCTACATCATTCTTATAGAGATCTTTGAACGTCTCAAATCCAACAACTTTGACTTCCATTGCGGATAATAAAGAATGTTTTCTGCTCAATGCGTCAGCAACCACATTTTGAACATCAGATTTGTGTTTAATTGTAAAGTTATAAGATTGCAAAAACTCTACCCAAGCTGCATGCCTCTTGTTTAGCTTGTGTTAATGATTTATGAACTTTAATGCTTCATGATCTGAATATAACACAAATTGCTTGGCAAGAAAGTACTGACTCCAATGAGATAAAACTCGATATATGGCATAGAACTCCTTATCATAGGTAGAATATTTCCTTCTTGTATCATTCAGCTTCTCACTAAAAAATGCAATCGGCTTTCCGTCTTGACTCAAAACAACACCAATTCCCACATTAAATGTATCACATTCAATCTCAAACAAATTGTCAAAATTTGGTAGAACTAAAATAGGAGCTTCGGTCACCTTTCTTTTTAAAAGCTCAAAAGCATCATTGGCCTCATTAGTCCATTTGAATTTATCATATTTCAAACATTCGGTGATTGGAGCGACAATAGAGCTAAAATTCTTGATGAATCTTTTGTAAAAAGAAGTTAAGCCATGGAAACTCCTCACATCATGCAATGAAGCGGGTGTTAGCCAACTGAGAATAGCTTCTACCTTACTTTGATCCATCATGATTCCATCTTTTGAAACAACATACCCCAAAAACACAACACTAGATTTAAAGAAATCATACTTCGTTAGATTAGCATAAAGCTTTTGCTGCCTCAAAATAAAAAAGATTTCTTTCAAATGATTCATATGCTCCTCTTCGTTCTTGTTATACACCAATATATCATCATAGTAAACTACAACAAATATTCCAATGTATGGCTTAAGTATGTGATTCATAAATCTCATGAAAGTGCTAGGAGCATTAGATAGCCCAAATGACATAACCAACCATTCATATAAGTCTTCTCTAGTTTTAAATGTTGTTTTTCACTCATCTCCTGGCCTCATTCTTATTTGGTGATAGCCACTCCTCAAATCAAATTTAGAGAAAATAGAAGCACCACATAATTGATCAAGTAAATCATCTAACCTTGGAATAGGAAAACGATAATCCATTGTGATTTTGTTGATAGTGCGACTGTTAATGCACATTCTCCAAGAACCATCCTTCTTAGGCATTAACAAGGCGGGAACTGCACAAGGACTCATGCTCTCCCGAATTAACCCATTTTTCACCAATTCATCAACTTGCCTTTGAAGTTCTTCATGCTCCTTAGGACTCATTCTGTACGCTGCCTTATTAGGTAGAATAGCCCCCGGAATAAGATCAATGTAATGTTGAATGTCTCTCAAAGGTGGAAGGCCATGTGAAATCTCTTCCGGTATAACATCTTGAAATTCCTCTAGAATTGGTTGCATGATTTCCGGTGTCTCCTTATGTTGTTCGTTCTCCTCTACTACCATTAGGGCCAAAACATGACCACCCTTATCTAATTCACATTTGCATTCACCATAAGACATAAAAGCACTAACTTCCTTCTTTCGTGCACTGATTTCGGAAAGTTGTAATGGAGCTAAGATAATCTTCTTTTCATTCACCTTAAAAGAATAAGTATGTTTATAACCATCATACAACACCTTTCTATCATAATGTCAAGGTCTTCCCAACAACAAATGACAAACATCCATAGGAGCAACATCACACCACACTTCGTCTTTATAATACTTGCCAATAGAAAATGAAACTAAACATCTTTTTGTTACCTTGATGTCATTTTCTTTTTGCAACCAACATAATTGGTATGGATGTGGATGAGAGATTGTGTCCAACTTCAGCTTCTGCACCATCTCCAAAGAAACCACGTTCTCAAAACTATCGCTATCGATGATCACCAAGCACACCTTGTCAAGAGAAGTGCATTTTGTGTGAAACACGTTTTTTCGCACCCAACTTTTATCATCGGCCACATAAGACACTTGCAAGCTACGTTGCAATACAATAGACAAACCATGATCTGCATAAGTAACCTCTTCCTCATCTTCATCATATTTTGGTTCGTCGTCAGCTTTGTCTTCTCCTCCATCACTATGATCTTTAACCAAAGTTACAATCCTCCTATTTGGACAATCTGAAGCAATATGCCCAAAACCATGATATTTGAAGCATTTTCGACCACTTGGGGTAGAAGAATTAGGCATTTTTTTATTGCCAGCAGATCCTTCCCTTTTCTTGCACCTTCGATATCACCTTGCTTTGGACAGTAGGCTTGGAACTTCCTCCTTTTGTATAGCCTTCTTTTGAGTCGTACCAAGAACTCTTTTTAAACTTATGTTGCTTTTCAACTTTTAATGCCAGCTTGCTCACATCATTTAAAGACCAATATGACTGCAGTTGAATAATTTTAGCAATCTCATACTTCAGACCTCCTAAGAATCTTGCAATGGTTTGCTCTTCTGGTTCCACAAACTCTCCTTTTAACATTAGGTTACGAATTCTGCAATGTACTCTTCCACACTAAGATCTTTTTGTTTAAAATCATGGATTTTGAGAAAGATCTCTTGCCGATAATTGTCAGGTAAATATTTTCTCTTCATCTCCCTTTTCATTTTTTCCTAGTCACGATCTTACTCTTCCCCTCACGTTCTCTTTGTTTCTTCATATTTTCTCACCAAAAAGATGCATTCCGTCTAAGTTTTAGTGCCACAAGTTTGACCTTCTTTTGTTCTGGTGGTTCATGAAAATCGAAAATTCTTTCTACTATATTAAGCCAATCGATAAAGTCATCAACATTTATTTTACCTTCAAACTCTGGAATCTCCAATCTGGGGTTATATTTATTCTGTCACTCGTCTTGGACTTTATTTCTTGTCCGACATCTTCTCGACTCCCTTGGGAGAGGAGGTGTATCTTCATCAGAAGTATATTCATGGACATCATTTTCATGCTGGTTTTGTCTACTTTGAAGTTCTTCGATTATTTCATTATTTTCTTGTAGACTACGCAACAATCTTCGTAGCTGCAGCCTCAACGACTCGGCATCATCTTCATGGTCGCTACCTTCATCAACTATATCTTTTCCATTCCGCCTTGTCATGATCTCTAGCCTTTAGCTCTGATACCAAACTGATACCGGGGAGGGTAAAATGCAGAATGGATTTCGAAAGGAAGCCGATGCAACAGTTTCTCAGATAGAAAATATCATAGTAGACAAAGAACGAACTCTTGAAGAAAAGTCGCAGTACAGTTGTATTTGCTGGAATGAGTGTTTTGAATAGAAAAGGCACTAACTCACGATAAAACTTAAAGAAGATCGAAAAATAGTTCACCACCAAGTTAAAATCACAAAGGGATACAGAAATTCACCACCCCAAGGATTATAAACGAGGATACAGAACAGAAATCAAAAGACTCACCACTCAAGGACGCATCCAAAAGATACAGAGTTTAAGGGAGTTCTCCAAGAGAGCTTCTGCCAAGATATTATCAGTTTCTAAAGTTCTTTCTAAGTCCTAAACACAAAAATAAATACTAGTGCATGAAACAACCCTTCATGCATAGGGAATTTCGAAATTAAGTGTTTACATCTGCTAACAACTCCTTTAATGCATTCCTTGGTCATGAAGACATGTTCACAGCTGCTAACCAACTCTTTTAATGCATTCCTTTGTCATAAAGAAAAGCACCTTGAAACAGCTTTAACTTTGTGCAGGGAATATGCTAATGAGCTGTCATATTTGAGTGGGCTGAGTTAAAGATTATGATGCATCATTGTTGGCTGAAAAAAATATCATATCATAATCAAGGTTCATATGATCAGATTGTAGTAAATTAGACACTCCCGTGTCAAAGTTTATAGCAACTTTCTCAAATCAACAAGATAATTTAGGTAACATTTACTCGAGCAAGCCTATTCTCCATGCACTAATCTGTTGCCTAGTATTTCATGCCATATACATCAGACCTTCTTTCACTAGTTTATTTAGACCCAAGGTACGTGAGTCACCTCAGAGACAATTCATAACTTAACCAATTTATAGTAGCAAGTCTGTCTATAGTGTGCTTGTTCTTTATTCTGGATACAGCAACAATAAAAAATTACAAGGGTGAAGCTTATTTTGCTCGTTCTAGATGCAAAATGAAAAATGACATATGACAGATAAAAAACATGCAGACGTAACTGTGGTAAAAATGAATATGCAGACACAACTGTCATCCAACATAAAGTGTGTAAAAAAACAAATGGTATTATTTGCTCAAATTAGTCAAGAGAGATTCCTGAACAGAAACAAAGATTTCTTTCTAGATATTAAATGATGAACCTACTTTTTTCTGAATAGATTGTTTGATTTATTTAGCTGAAACAATTTTGAACTTCACTAAATGATGCTTCAATAAACAGATCCTTCATCCCCCTCTTCAGTAAAATATAAGCACCAACAATAGAAATCGGTGTAATCAACAGCACAGAAAAATTATTAACTTCTTATAATCATACCTCTGGTTAATTAAAGTGCGCAATCTAGAACTCTTTAGGTTCGGCAACTGCAGTTTATCTCGGAATAGTGGGTTTGCTTCAATCAGCTTCTTAAGCTCAACAAGCATTATTGTCCGAGCTGATTTTGTATCCCCATACTTCGAAAGTTGCTCATTTTCCCTGAAAATCAAGCACATTAGGCATGGAAAAAGCAACAAACTATGACAAAAGAGCAACACTAGCTGAATATAAATTGCTAAAACCTCAAACCTGAAATTCTCCAAAGTTAAAAGTTGTGTGATTTCCTTAAATAATTCCTCGTTGAACGAGGCAAAGACCTTCAAATCCTTCACAAGGATTTCAACAGCTTTTGCTCGGTCATGTCTAGCAACCAAAAACAAGGAACAGCTTTCAAAGCCTACACTCCAAAACAAACAAAGCAAAAAAATTAAAAAGAAACCAGAAGCCTACTTGTCCAATGCTTCAAGGTACTTCTGCTTCCGGATTTCAAAAAATATCTTCATGGAGTACCGGTTGTCATCAACCTTGGTAAAGCCAGAGAGGTAACGCTCAACGTTATCCCAATTTCCATTATGCACCTCATCCTCAAAATACTTCATATTGAAATAGAAGCCAGAGTCCTGCTCAAGCCTGAGTTTAAAGCCCATAAAAAGAAGTGCAAAAGAGTCGCAAGATAGATAAGAGAAAAAGATAAATAAGAGAATAAGCCAGTGATCAACCAAAAATTAAGTTTTAACAAGGAAACCAACTTGTGAACTGTTTCTTTAAACTTCTCCTCATCGAGGAACTGCAGTATCAGAAACACCAGCTCTCTACTGAGAGATGACATCGTCTTGCGCCGTCTCCACCTCGAAACCCTAAATCATTAAAGAAAAGGGAAACAGATAGCAAATAAAATAATAGATATTCCCGTGGATATCACGAAATTGAATAAAAGATCCAATCTTGGAGCACATCTCACAAACAAAAACGAATAAGGATCCAAAATGGAGCCCATCGATGAAACCAAAGTTTTCCCAAACGAAAAGAAAACCCGAGACGCCTGCATGAAAGCCGCCAAAATCCCTTCTATGGATTCGAACAAGATATCTAGATGAAACAACGGAATAAAGAACCACAAGCTTAGGGTTCGACAGATCGGCGAGGCAAGAAAGAACAGCACCAAAGAGCGTAAATCGAAAAGAAAGGAGAAGCAACGGGAAAAATAAGGCGGACGAGGGGGAAAAAGGGCCAAAACTAAGTCTTTTGCACGGCTCCTCCAACGAAAAGGGGAGAGATCTGGGCAACGGTCCGAGCTCACCTCCAAGAAGAAGACGGGGGAGATGACGACGACGAGCGATCGGAGGGAGGAAGCGAGACCAGAGACCAATAATTTAGGTAGAAACCTGCAGAAATCGAAAAGGAAAGCGGAACAGAAACAGAAGAAGAATATTGGCCCAGTTTGCGACACGGATGGGTCGATTTATAGGCAAACGTAGACAAATCGGAGAGGTTGAACTGCTTCTCTAGGATAAGTAAGTTGGCGTATCAATGAGAACCTGTTTCACACACATATGGCTAAATAGGCCATGCATAGAGGGTCCCACACTTCGAGGCGACGACGAGTCTGACGATATTGAACGCAGTGGAATTCGCGAGGTTGTGATCAATCAGCCGATTGGATGATATATTTCAAATAGAATATTTCTTCGAGACATGAGAGAATGACGCGTTTCGACCACGACGAGGTGCCCAGCTCGGTGATCGTCACGAGAAGACCCGCGGCGGCGTCGAGCAACCCGGCCGGTCCCTCCACCGCTTCTGCCGCCTCACGGCTTTCTATCTCAGCCCAACGGCTGCTCCTCCTCCCCCGGCCACCCGTCCCCTCCGGCGTTGGGGACGGCCCCCTCGATGCGGTTCTCGCGGTGCTCGGGACTTCGCCGCCTCACCGTTTTCTAGCTCCCCTCAGCGGCTGCTCCCCCTCCCCCGCCGCCCATCCCATCCGGCGTTGGGGGCGGCACCCTCAGGTGGTTCTCGCGGCGCTCGGAGAGCTCAACGTCAGAAGCGCGCCACGCCAGGCCGAGGTCGCACGCGCCCCCTGAGCTCTCCGGCGCTGCGTGCTCTGGGGCGACGCTGGCGGTTCATCTCCTTCCGCTGCCAGTGTCAAGACTCCTCTCCATCAGCTCCTGAATCTTTCACAAGAAGTATCTCAGAAAGACACTTTACAACATGAGCATCAAATGGGGATCAAGAAATTTATCATGCAACGATATGCAGCTGAAAAGACAGCAAGGAATCGTCCAAGAGATTGCAAACTTCCAATGACAACAAAAAACATGGCGACTTCGAACACCACATCCACTCGCCTGCAGGCACTCTAGCTGAACACCTGCGGCTTGGCGCAGTTCTTTGTGCACTGCAACCAGCACGACAAGAGTCCCATGATGCCTCCGCCTGGCGCGCTGGGCTGGCAAGCATCGCTCTCTCGTCGCTGCAAGGCCCTCAGGAACTCCTCTGAGCTCAAGTTCCCATCGCGGTTTGTGTCGAAGACGTGGAAGATGACATCCACCATGTTTTCCGTCAAAGAGATGCCGCAGACCTATGTCGATGTAAAATCCATATTTACACAACTTTCGTCCGGCACAAAAAAGGAAATAAAACATTAGATTGGTGCGCATCATATGACAGCAACAATGCTTATGCAGTTGATGATCTTTTGGAAATAAGTCAATAGAGTGATCGGACCATATGCAATGATTGTAAGAAAACCTTTAGATGATCGAGGCAACAAAAGACAAATGGTTGAGTCAGTCCTGACACTATCTATTACTAGCAAGGGTTGGTCTGAACTCTGAACAATACATTTTATGTTTCAGTTGCATTAGAATTTGTTTAGCTACAGGAGACATTTTTAATACTAGTAGTACACATATTTTTGTGTAACTTTTTTAGAATTTCTAATAAGAAGAAATACAAAAGCTAAAAAAACAAAAAACTGTTAATACAAGCAGTCATATGAATGTTTCCAAAACTACCAGAATATATAACCTTGTGTGTACCTAAGTCTGGAAATTATTGTTGTTACTTAAGAGGGATGAGAAGAAAGGTCCATAATTTGTCCATACTAGTTGACAGACCTGCTCATAATCCTAAACAGCCAAAAAAATTTCGAAGCACACAAAGAGAATAGTTGATCTTACATGAGATGCAGCTCGTATAAAGTCCTGCTTTGTCAACAAGCCATTCATTTTCCCATAACTAAAGATAGCTAGAGTCAACGGTCTCAATCTTCTACGCAATTCTGCAAAAGCTTTGAATTCCTGGAAGTTACAGAATTAAAAGGTAAATTAAGGATAAAAAGGTTGGTTATCTAAAGAAGTAGAAGAAAAGACTCTTACTTCAAAGGTGAAGTGCAAATCTCTAAGCGAAGGGCTATCGTCCAATTCATCCACTCGATCTAGTAACTTGTCTACATGATTCATGTCTGCTGAAGCAACCATTGACAGAGCAAAATCCTTGGCAGAAATTGTTCCTCTTGACTTTAAATCATAATGAGAGAACTCTAAGCGCACAATCTATTTAAGCAAAAGGATACAGACAGCAATGGAAGTTAACTGCTACAACAAATTGTAAGAAGAAAAAACATTGATCAAGAAATAGTAGCAGTTAAACATATATGTTAGCAACAAAAATATGCATAGTACCTGAAGGTAAAGGTTATAATGTACAAAAAAGAAGGAAAAATGTCAAGATAATTTTAAAGCATTTCACAAGTCATCTAAATGCATCCTTCCTACTGAATAAACAAAATCATGCTACAATGTACCTAGAATTGCAATGATTATTTAAGCTAAAAAACTAGAATAATAGACCAAGGACTAGAAGAACTGATAGTGCAAAGCAGTCTTGCAAGCAGATTTGCCATAAACAGTAAATACTAGACAAAATTAATTTATTTCAGTTAATACCTGAAATCAAATTTTACTGGTTTTAGTAGTTATGAAGTCAAATAAATTATTACTCTGAAGATTAGATTCTCAATTTTTAAATTAATATAACTGTTCGAACAAGTTCAAGCCAATCTGCACACATAGCTCTTAATCAATGGTAGCCAAAAAAATTTCCAGAATCAAAATCCTCCAAGATGTTAGACATTCAAATTTCCAACCATCCCACCACTTTCATTGGCATTGCAAATAGAGTTACCACATTTGTTTTATTAACAATATCAAATGCTCTATAATTATTTCTCAAGAAACATTTTGGAAGACCAGTTCATCATTTAATGGAGACTAGAAGGCTTTGGACTGAGAAACCTTCAGAAACTAGTCATTTTGTTGTTATCCATGTGCATGGATGTATATGCCTTCTAACAATAACTAGTGAGGGAAAAACATAGATAAGCTAAGAAAATATTGCAAAAGTACTGACTAAACTTACTTTATAAAATTTGGCAATATTTTCAATCATATAAATGGAAACACTTCACAGAAGATGTGGATACTGAGTTTTCTATTAAAGAAATGCTGGTATCACTCCCAGCCTTAGTGTGCGATGGTCAGTGCAACAACAATCATTAGCACCTTAAAGGTAAAAAAGGAACAAACTGGAAACCATACTTAATCCCAGTTTCAGCTACTGGATTTAAGTAGCCTATTATAATTGATGCAGGAGAATTAACTAAAGAGAACTCCTGAGGCTCCATCTATTAATCACAACTTCCTGCTGTGACATACAGCACAACCATTACCATCTCCAAAAATTTCTTTGTTATCTTCAAGTGATGTAGATTCAGACTTTAAAAAAGAGTAAAATTTCAATACATTGTTAATCATTCTGGAATCATGGATTTAGCATTCAGCCAATTCAGACGCATGTCAATGACTCAACATATCAGGACTTCAGTTTGGACCTAGTACATCCTGAAACCGAAACTTTGAGAAATAAAAAAAACAGGTAAAATTTGCTGGAACAAGCCAGGGGCAGGGACCAACTAGGTTATGCTGAAACAGAACAGCAATCTTGCCAATACTTGATCCAGCAAACTAAGTTAATGGTGTCTCTATAATCTGTTGTAGAAGTCGATTTGAAGAATGTTTAAATTAAGACGACCCTGGTGTAGCTATCTTAAATCAGATCCCAACTCTCAACCGTTTAGCATGAATTATGCACATTTTATTTGCAGCTCATTAATAGTGGTAAGTGCCTGGCATATGGAAGTTATTTTCCATATCATGAAAGACTCAAAAGTTAAAGATTAACATAGACAATTGCTAAAGGCTAACTATAAAATATTGGCATTTTATAATTCTTTGCCACCTCCATTGCTCAACTTTTGGGTGCTTTATGTAGGTTGTGGGATGTGATGTCAAAGCAAACACCATGAAATTGGATCAAATCATAATGCAGGTTATGTAAAAAAGAAGACATATCAAGTCAAAAGCCTTTTGCGCATAATGGCAGTTGCACAAAAAGCTTTGCAGGCAACAGACGCAAATATTGCTTAAACTGTAACAGAGAAAATTATACTTCAATCAGGTGATGCCATGAAATGATACTATGTATCAGCTTTGGGAACTAGACCTACAACTATAGATGTGAAAGAGACAAAACGAATTAATTTTCTGAAAGAAAAAGTCAATACAACCATTTTGATGTTTATTTCCAACTTATAGCAATACAAATATGAGCAACAAAATATTAACCACAGGCAGAAATATTATTCCACCACACTCATTAGTTTAAGAAACTGTATCATTCAGATGTTATGCATTGAAAAGCAGTTAATTAAATGATTTCTCGACAAAACAATAAACAATTGACAGAAAAAATTCAGGAATGAACATATTAATTTCTGATAACTAAATGTATAAGAACTTTCAACAGGAAAGATAACCACAAAAGTGTCAATTATTGTATTTTTAAATCAATGAGAGAAAAATTGGGGTACCTCATCATGCAAGTCCCTAAGAAATTGAACAAACTTATCAAGTTGGAGACATCCTTTCCCATCTTTGCCAAAAAAGTACTCAACCAGACCTCCATTCTCAATAGAGCCACCAACTTTTAGACCAATGCGTAGTCCATTATTATGAGAAGCCCCTTGTCTGTTATAAGAACGCATTAATCCCATCACTTTCTTGAACTCTTCTCTTTCTATCTCTCTGAAAAAAGATGCAATTAGTGTCTAGAACTCTAGATAATAGTACCATGATTATTGGTTAAGTTTTTCCATACCCTTCATCAACTAATTATTAGTGAGGATTGTATAGCTCATAAAAAGGGGCTCTATCTAGAGGAACAAGTAGATTTAACTGCATGTAAATGATCCAAATTTAAACATAGTATGAAGTTCAGATTAGGGGGATTATATACATGACACAGTATAAAAAATGCAAATGGAATTTTCTGCTATAAAATATGACTTCTTAAGCAAAAAAAATAAATTTTGAGGCAGAGATGATAGCATTTTAGTAAACTAGATCTGTTTGCAAGCTATTTATCTAGAGAGAGAAAAAAAAAATTTTCCTTCTCTCTTTATAGAATGACATGAAAAAGGTCACAGTTATTAAAACAATGATCTATCAATTCCCATGGACCTTTGACTAGATTTACGAACCAAAGAAATTTGTCAGGTAAAATATGTTATTAATTACCAAATAATCTAAGAATTCAGATCAATCTCAGTTCATTAAAATTAACTTTGTTAGATTAGTAATTACTGAATGAAATTTAACCACTTAGGAATGCAAATTTTGCATTGAGAATATTGTAATAAAGAGTCTAAATTGTACAGCACAGTTTTGAGTGATTCAGAACAAGGATGCCTCAATATGAAGCAGACTGAAATTGTTTGAAGGCTTAGACCAATAGATTAAATTAAATTTTATGAAGACTCTATTTAGAGGAATTAGACAACCAATTCCAAGATGAGCCCATTCTTGCTACCATGTAATAACAGAAATATCTTTTCGTGATAAAATCTGTTAGGAAATTTTTAGTTTCGACTAGTTAAACAAACACACAAACAAAGTTAAAACCAAGGTATGCAATATTGTACCGTACCAGAGTTTCGACGTTCGATCGGTATGGTACGATATTATATACCGAGCGGTATACCGTTCGATATACCGCTCGGTATATATATATATATATATATATATATATATATATATTATAATAATAATAATTTTATAAAAGGCGATGTCGCATCGCCTCGGCTACGTCGCCTTTTCCTTCTCCCACGCGGGGCGATGTGCCGAGGTGACGCGACGTCGCCTCGTTTATATATATATATAAGGTTATATATATTTATATATAAATATATATATTAATATATATATATATATATATATATATATATATATATTTCGTTCCGTCCGGTAATGGACGGTCTGTGTACCAGTCAGCTGACGGACCGGTACATACCGCCCGTACCGGACGGTATTATTCGAAATTGCATACCTTGATTACAACTATATTTTTTGTGAGAATCCATCCTTTTAATAAAAGAAATCATTATAGAAAAGGATTGGTATGCAACATTTCTGCCATGTGCTTGCCCTAGGACAGCAAGGTCTGCTGACATCACAATTTTAGCCCCAAAATACAGCACAAAACATGGCCATGCCATCCTGCCAGTATGATGCAATCAAGGTAGCTTGCATCAGAGTGGCCATGCTGTTCAAAAGCTGCTCTAAGAGTATAAGCATGTTATACCAATGAAAAGAGGCATTTGATACACCAACTACATTTGAAATAACAAAAAAGGGTTGTTTCTTTTATCTTTCTTGAAAACACAGAGAAAAGGTTGGTTAATGACAAAAATAAAATGGTATAAAGAAAGGGCAAAAAATATTGGTGCAAAAGAAAGGCACAATAAATAATATAAGATGAATAAAACCTACCCGTTGTTGTCAAGATCAAACATTTTAAAGGCCACACTGAAGCTTGATTCAGGAATGCTAAGCAAGGTCACAAAGAATATATATCTGGAAAGAAGATAAAATGAAGGGTGAGAATCCAAAATGTTGTTTTATTGTGCTATAAACAAGTTGGAAGTCTTAGATGGAATAATAGGATATGAGTCCACCATTGTTGTTTTAAGATGGAATAATCCAGAATGCTGTTTTAAAGAACCAAATATTTTTTACTTACTCTGGGAAGGATATGAGTCCATCGTTGTTAGTGTCAAAAAGCATAAAGAACGTAGATGGAGCACAACGCAATTCTCCAGGATCATGTTCCCCTCTCAAATATCCGTCTCTAACAATATCGGAATCTGATGGAGGAAAAACAGGAACAACTGCTCTCATCAAATCTGCAGGTGTCATGCATACTTCTCCTTCTGGGTTCTTAGATGATGCAAAATACTCAAAAATCTGCAACAAAAAAAAAGGTAACAATTAAACAGCTAATCCCATACTAGTGGATTGTATTAGATCAAAATATCAGAAAAATAGTATGTGGCATGGACACAGCAACAAAGACAAACCCATACCATAAATTCAGAACAGAAGAAAACAAAATATGAAGGAAGAAATTTAGACATGGATAATTTAAGTAAATCAACATATCAACAAGCACCAAATATTTAGCACATATACCTATATGAAAGACAGTGTAGATATTTTAAATGTACTTGTACATGTATGTATATGGAGACCAACATCACATGCAAACACGTATACATATGTTCCAGTTAGTACAACTATGAATACATTTAAAAAGAATACCTTTTCAGGAGAACTTCGCAACCTTATCCGTTTCTCATATTTAAAAAACACCCTTCTCCGGTATGAATCTGCACAAATTAACTGACAAGTGCTCAGTCTACCATCAAATATTGAAAAAAATCATGCACAAACAGCTTCCTATCTCCTTTTTGTGTGTGTATGTGTGTGCCAGGCAGCAACACAAGTTATCGAACTGCTGCTAATTCATTTTTATTCATGTTGTTGCAATTGCATATATTGATCCATGCAGCACTTGAAAATAACAAGGCAAATGAAGATCCCAAACAATAAAATAGCATTCAGAATGTATGAGTTCCTTCAAAACTAAGACATTTTCTGCAACTATATTTGTTTGACTCTGTCAGTTAAGGTTAACCCAAACAATTTAGAGTGGAAGTTACCATGCAGTACTCATCAAGAGAAAATTGTCTGTACTTTGTACTAAATATGATTTTAGCAACTATACTATGCATGAACTGGATGTCTAACTCTTCACCAAGTAGAACTGGAGTATTAATAAAAACAATATCCCACATATATGGAATTTCACCAACAAACTTGGTCAATCCTTTGCCCATGAAAACTTTGCATGTGTCCTTGTAATGAAAGTACATCCATCCTCAGGACCAAGAGATACAAGCTTTAATCTTAAAGCGAAGAAATCTAGTTTGAATGAACAAAGCCACTATTTACTTCTGATCTCTCTTCTCTGATTGGACTAAATCTATTCCAGAAAGTATCTGTAATTTCTTATTCACATCTGTTTCACCAACCATCCATTAACTTCAAAATGTGACATTCATAATGATGATGATGAAGTTCAACTTTGAATCATCTGTTACTTTATAAGTCCTTTTTTACTATATCATTCCTACAGTTATCTGTACACTTTTGGCAGTCAATATATAAGAGATATAAAGATCACTTCAACCAGACATCTCCCATCTCTTGTCCACAAATATCTTCTTTTTTTTCTGTAAGAAACCATTATGAACTAAATTTTTAGAACCTCATCATGCTTAAATTTAATTTCTATCTAGATTTTGCAATGTCAAATTAAAAGAAAAGGTGCATTGTAATAATAAGGTTAGATATGCAAGCAGACACACTTTCCTAAAGTAATAGCTTCTTGAATTTATTATCTGAACTACTACTGTTTTGCAAGTGCTTCTAAGACCCATCAACCAAGCTATCTTCATGCTAACATGCATATTGGAAGATAGTTCTATGCAGAAGCTTACAATGTTTTGTCAAGATTAGGTATGAATTACTACAAATTAAAAGCCCAAGCAAATTGTTTTAGATCACATTTATCTGTGCAACATGTTCTCTATTAATAGGCCTACCAGGCACTTCTTACAAAACTGACTTCTTTGATCGTTACAGAAATCACTTTGTACTTCCCGTAGCTGCTTCAACCCAGACACAGCTTATATCATTTATAATTCAGGCTGTTACACCCTTCTAGACAAGGAAAACTTCGTTTACATAAAGTCCATGTGTGAAGCATTATCATATACCATGGCAATGTATTTACTCTTTTTTTTGGCAATCATGTCACAAAATACAGCCCTTTAATGATCTGAGCCATATTTGCAAAATACATTCAAATATAACAGGTCCATTGGCCCTAAGCTAGTTTATGCAACATCTGTTAACTGTACTGTACAAATTCAAATCAGACTAGCTAAAATGCACTTGTTCAGAACAACAACCACAGCTTTATTTTATCATCTCAAATATGAGTAAGGGTAAGCCATTCGCGACATCCATGAGAAAAGGAGGCCCTTTCCTTGTAGTAGCAATTAAAAAGACAAGAAATCAATTGGAAATTGACCAGCTAAAGTATTCACATGCACTCACATGGCCAAACTCCATTTATTCCTCTGATATAAGTATTTAATATTCTCACTCAAGGAACAAGAAGTTGTAACGTCTAACCACTGCATTAGATGTTGAATAATCAAAAGGCAACAACATCTCGCTATATCTGTCTTGTCTACATCCTCGAAGTAACTGTACCAACTACTTCTCATATCTTGAAAATGATCAAGGCGAACATCAATTTAAAGCCACCTTTTACAATCCGAAACACAAATTAACATCCCAATTATAAAATTCCCCTCTAAATTTTTAATTTTGGCTAAAAGATCAATCGGTTCCAGTAAACAACATCTCGCGACGACGTGACGAAAAAAGGACATATTTCCAACATGAAAAGAAAAGAATAAAATTCAAATGACCCAAACGAATAAAAGGAAAAAACGATCGAGAACGCACCTGCGAACAGAAATTTGGACTTCTTTTCCATCTTCGCATCATCCGTTGCTATCGGGTGCTCGGGCTCGCTCCGCTCCAGGTTGGAGTCGGCGAAGGAGAGGGAGGAATCGGGGAACGACGAGACCGAAGTAAGCATCCACAGGCCGATAGCCGATCCCCCGATGGCGAGTACCCCCGCGACCGCTCTCCCGAGAGCGCCGAGGTCACGCTCCTTCTCGGCTGCCGCGAAGCTGCCGAACCACGCGGAGACGCCCCCACGGCTTCTGATTGCTGACTTACGGAGGGCAGATGCAAGGAAGAGAGACATTGAAGCTCTTGATGGAGGACGAGATGGAGACGGAGATGGAAACGGAGATGGCGAGGGCTCGGAGGAACGGAGGGGGAGAGACGACAGACACGGAGAGGGAGTCGCAAGCGAGAAGGACGGTTCATTCGGAGAAGACCGAGTTATTATTAGAATATATTTACATAAAAATAATATATAATATATAAGTCGAGGTGTTTGTTTTATGGCCCCACATGATTTATTTTGAGCTCTCCAAAGACGTGTGGAGGTGCAACTAGGGGTTGTCCGTCCCACTTGGTATCGTTTCTTTATTATCGGTGTGGTGGCATATTATCAATGGCATGGTATGTTGTTCCCTGCACTGTTTGAATGATTAAATCCCAGATGTGGATGGCGTGTTATGCCACGACACCAACCACGACCGTCTATTGCAATCGTTATAAACTGCTTATTGCCGATTGCAATGGTTCACGACGACGACCGTCCGATTCTAGGTTTGAAAAATGAAATAAACAATTCTAGTTCGAATAGTCAATTTTATAATTAAAAAATTAAATTATAATTTTTAATTAAAATTATAAAATAATAATTGTTCGTGGGCTTCTCCCTCTTTTGTTAAGTTAATGTTTATATAAATTATATTTGTTTAAGATATATCAAGATAAGAATTTAATTGATTTAGAATATCTATCTTAGATAAATTTATTATGAGTCCTAATACACTTAAGTGTCCTGAGTCTAGACTATAAATAGGAGTACAATTTTTTTTTTATAGGGCACCAAGTTAGATTCGAGGGGAGCAGCACATGAGCTGCAAACTATTGGTTAAGGGGCTGTAATCAGATTTCATTAATGAAGTTTTTTTATGTTTTGAGCTATTTTGATTCTTCAATTGGTGTCTAGTTTTTATCTCCTCTGTTTTTTGGTTCTCAACAAGTAATATCATAGCCATAATATTTTTTATTTAAGATGATAAATAATAATGTTACATGGTTGCTACCATGTGATTATTATCATTGTCGGTCCTAACTAATTTTTAGAGAAGATAATTATTTGACACGAAGTAAAAAAAATTATTTTTATCATTGCCGGTCCCAATTTTTAGAGGAGATAAAATGTTAATCTTAATAGTGTGGGAGATTATCGAAAAAGAGTATGGGGTAGCCAGAGACACTAAGGAAGATCAAAGAAAAGATTTACATACTCTTTGTTTCCTTCAATAAGCAGTTGATTCCAACTGTAACAAATTTTAAGGAGGCTTAGGAGATTTTGGAGCAGTAGTATCGTGGTAACTCTTAAGGTATTAACCATTAAACTCATAATTTTTCAAAGAAATTTTAAGAATTTATTTATGGATGAAAGTGTTATGGAGATAATAAATTAGATGAAAAGATGTTCCGAATTAATTTCTGATAAAAAATTATTGAAAAAGTTTTAAAAAGTCTCTTAGATATATGTATATATGATCATGTAGTTGCTACTACTAAAGAATCAAAAAATTTATATAAATTATATATTGGTGAATTATTTGGTTCTTTACAATCACATAAGTATAGATTAAATATATCTTAAAATACTAATATTGAGCATATCTTACAAAGTAAATTAAATATTTCTCAGAAAGAAAAAAATAATGGTACAAGAAATAAATCATACAATAAACCTGATGATCAATCAAACAAACATCGATGGTAACAATCAAGATTATTATAAAAGGAATATTCAGTGATACTATTTAAAAAAAGTAGGGTCATACTGTAAATTTTTGTTATTTAAAAAAGGCAACATTAGCAAGCTGATTTTGTAGGGAGAGATGATAAATCTGAAAATTTAGTTTTTGCTTGCCAATCTATTAATGATGCACCAAATAAATGTTATTTTATGATCAAGGTGAAATATGGTGATGAACTTTATTTTAATACTTTAGACGCATACAAAGATCAAGATACGAGTAGACTGAGAAATAAGTTTCTTATTTTTTTTCACTGGATGATGATAATTAGTTGATATTAGTCTAACTTATATTGATAAAATGATGATATTATAGCACTAGATGATGATAATGAGTTGTATGATATAATCATTAATCAATGCTTGAATCCTCTTACAATTAATGTTCAATTGAAATCTAATGCTATTGTTGAGTAAGATTTAAATATGGACAATATGTAGCATTGGGAATAGTAGCTCATCGATGTCTCAAATTTCAATTAGATTTTCAGAGAGATATACAATAAGAAAGGTGCAATATTTATTTGAAACTTTTTGAAAGATGTAAGTTTGCTGAAGTTATAATACCTATATTTTTTTTAAAAAAAGGTAAGACGCAAAATTGATTCAGAGAGATCAAAGTTTTCAAAGAGATGTATTGATAAATCCAATTAACACTGAAGCAACAAATTTAGGCAAAAAAAGTTTTCTCGTAAACCTATAATTATTACTCTTAAGAACTCGATCCACTATAGATGTTCAAAATATGACAAACTCGGATGATATAACAAAAGAGATCGCTCTATAAATATTTTTAGGCCATCAAAGAATTTATTATTTTGAAGGGATAAACTTGTGATTAGATATATTAACATTATGGGAGGAGTGTTAAGATGATGCTAACATAAGTTTTATTTGTTTAGGAGATATAAGGTAAGAGCTTAATTAATTTATGATACTTATTTTAGATAAGTTTATGATGAGTCCAACCAAATCTCTTTTAAGTGTCATGAGCTTAATTAATTCATGATACTTACAAGTCAGATCAAGGGGGAGCAATAGATGGATGGGTTGGAAAGTATAATCAAAGTTTCATTACTGAAGTTTTTATGTTTTGAGTTAATCTGATTCTTGCATTTGTGATTGGTTTTTGTCTCCTCTAGTTTCCAACATCCTCTTCTCCGATAACGAGCTCGGGGTAGACAACATCACCCGCTTCAACCACGAGTTTCTCCGAAGCATGGGCGTATCCGTAGCTTAAGCACAGGCTCGAGATACTCAAGGAGGCCATCAGGAACAAGGACAAGAGCGCCCCACGTCCCGTGGCCGGGTTCATCGCCGCAAAGGATCTGCAGCTCCTTCCCCGGCTGCCACGATGGCTCAGCCGTCGTCGCCACCCGAGGCCCCAGCGTGGTGGCGATGGGGGTTGGAGAAGGAGCTCGTCGACGAGGAAGAGCGAGCTGGTGTAGTCGAGGCGAGGGAGGTTGATGGTAATGGCACTGTGTCGTGTAGCTCTTCGGATAGAGTTGCTGAAGGTATAAGCTGGGACTCCATGTTTCAAGACTCGAGACCAAGTTGAATGAATCCACCAAGTGTACTGCGCTCTCTTACTTTCTTTCTCTTATGTAAAGAAGAAAACAGATGTTGCAGTTGTAATGAAATATCATACTCATATAATTGTTTGGCCAATATAATGATCGATAACTCCCTCCGAGTTTTAAGTTAACTAATCTCAAACGTTTACTGAAGACTGCCATAATTTATTGCAAGTTCCTAAACCACTCGAATTCTGTCTTCAACTTAATGTCACTTTCACTGTTTATTCTTTAAAAAAATATAGATCAAATATCATACTCATCATTTATATAT